TGCCCCGCCCTCTTCCCTTCCAGCAACCCTTCCTGATAGTCTTACTCTACAACTAGTTTTCTTTCTTTCTTTCTTTCTTTTTTTTTTTTTTTAAAGATTTCATTTATTTGATAGAGAGAGACACAGTGAGAGAGGGAACACAAGCAGGGGGAGTGGGAGAGGGAGAAGGAGGCTCCCACGGAGCAGGGAGCCCAATGTGGGGCTCGATCTCAGGACCCTGGGACCATGACCTGAGCCAAAGGCAGACACTTAACGACAGAGCCACCAGGCGCCCCCTACAACTAGTTTTCTTAAACTTAATTAGGTTCATGTTGCCTGTGGGCTTTGAAACACTGAACTTTGTAAGTGTAGCTTCTTCGCGTTTGCATGGTGCTTCATAAAAACCATCCTTAATGACCGCACAACATTTTATAGAGTATTCTAATTATTCCCTTCTGTTGGGTTATTTGGCTTAATTTCCAATTTTCCACTACTATTTCCACTATTCCACTACTGTCAATAATGCTTCAACAAACATCTTTGTGCATGAAATATTTTTGAATTTAGAATTGAAGATTGGTTCCTAAACGTGGAATTACTGGATCAAACGCTATGATTAAAAGGATTCCAATCCCTGTTGTCAGTCCTCTTTCCAGAAGAGAGGCAGAGAGGAGCAGTGCAGGAAAGAACTCATTGCAACCTGAGGATGAGAACCTCTTTGTGAAGAGGGAGATTCTCACCAACCCCCAAACCTCCTCTCCTGGTCTCTAGATACCTGGAATTCTTTGAGAGAGAGAGAGAGGGAGACAAAGGCTGTGCTTTTCCTTTAAAGAGGAAATACCTTAGAGGCTCAGCTGGCAGGGGCTTTGAGGTCCGGTGTGTGTGAATGAAGGTATGGGGCCCTGCCCTGATTTTAGGTGGAGGTGGGCCCTGGGAGACCCAGCCTGTCACTGAGAAAGGGAAGGACATTCCCACCAGCTCTACCCTAATGTGGAGTCTGCCCTAATGTGGAGTCTGCCCTAATGTGTTGGGAGCCACACCAATACAACTCTATATAGCCCACAGGGCCACTTTACTCGAACCTGTCCTACTCGATCCCTGACAGTTTCATGTGCAAAGTGTTCTCTGTCCCTTTCTATGTGACTTCTGCAGTGTCCTCTCCTTGGGAATGTTAGAGCACAAAACTCTCTTGCTAATAAAATGAGGTGGCTGGGATTAGTGCCTCGTGGAGCTTTGAGACTGGACAGAGTAGGTTGAGTTTCAGCTCTGCCACATGGGGAAATGGGGGTTATACTCCAGCCTTACCGGACTGTTGGGCAGATTGTGTATTGGGTATGTAAAAGGGTCTTTTCGTTTGATGATGAGATTGCCTGAAAGCAGGCACTCAGCACGTTTGTCTTCAAGTATGTACCATATAAACGCATAAATCTCTCATTTCTAGAACTGCAGAAGATAACTTCGTTTTGTTGCAGTCATAGGGCTATAAAAAATTAAGTTTATGTTAAATGAAATAGAAATTGATTTAAGTGATTGTGTGATTTGGAAGGTTGTGTGTGTGTGAGAGAGAGAAATAGAGAAATAGATACTTAATTACCTCTTCTTTATTTTTAAAATTTAAATCCAATTAATTAACATATAGTGTATGTTTCAGAGGTAAAGGTCAGTGATTCATCAGTTGCATATAACACCCAGTGCTGGGGCACCTGGGTGGCTCAGTCGGTTCAGCGTCTGCCTTTGGCTCAGGTCATGGTCCCAGGGTCCTGGGATCAAGCCCCGCATCGGGCTTCCTGCTCAGCGGGAAGCCTGCTTCTCCCTCTCCCACTCCCCCTGCTTGTGTTCCCTCTCTCGCTGTGGCTCTCTCTCTGTCAAATAAATAAATAAAATCTTTTTAAAAAATAAAACCAAAAAACCAAACACCCAGTGCTGATTACATCACCTGCCATCCTTAATGCCCATCACCCAGTTACCCCATCCCCCCACCTCCCCTCCAGCAACCCTCAGTTTGTTTGCTGTGATTAAGAGTCTCTTATGATTTGTCTCCTTCAGTGATTTCATCTTGTTTTATTTTTCCCTCCCTTCCCCTATGATCTTCTGTTTTGTTTCCTAAATTCCACATATGAGTGAGATCATATGATAATTGTCTTTCTCTGACTGGCTTACTTTGCTTAGCATAATACCCTCTAGTTTCATCCAGGTGGTTGCAAATGGCAAGATTTCATTTTTTTTGATCACTGAGTAATATTCCATTGTATATATATACCACATCTTCTTTTTTTTTAAAAGATTTTATTTATTTATTTGACAGAGAAAGACACAGCGAGAGAGGGAACACAAACGGGGAGTGGGAGAGGGAGAAGCAGACTCCCCGAGCAGGGAGCCCGATGCGGGACTCGATCCTGGGATTCCAGGATCATGACCTGAGCCGAAGGCAGTCGCTTAACCAACTGAGCCACCCAGGCGCCCTATACCACATCTTCTTTATCCATTCATCTGTCGATGGACATATGGGCTCTTTCCATAGTTTGGCTATTGTGGACATTGCTGCTATAAACATCGGGTGCACGTGCCCCTTCAGATCACTACATTTGTATCTTTGGGGTAAATACCCAGTAGTGCAATTGCTGGGTCGTAGGGTAGTTGTATTTTCAACTTTTTGAGGAACCTCCATACTGTTTTCCAGAGTGCCTGCACCAGCTTGCATTCCCACTAACAGTGTAGGAGGGTTCCCCTTTCTCCGCATCCTTGCCAACATCTGTCATTTCCTGACTTGTTAATTTTAGCCATTCTGATTGGTGTGAGGTGGTATCTCATTGTGGTTTTGATTTGGATTTCCCTGATGCCAAGTGATATGGAGCACTTTTTCATGTGTCTGTTGGCCATTTGTATGTCTTCTTTGGAGAAATGTCTGTTTATGTCTTCTGTCCATTTCTTGACTGGATTATTTGTTGTTTGGGTGTTGAGTTTGTAAGTTCTTTATAGATCTTGGATACTAGCCCTTTATCTGATATGTCATTTGCAAATATCTTCTCCCATTCTGTCGGTTGTCTTTTGGTTTTGTAGACTGTTTCCTTTGCTGTGTGAAAGCTTTTATCTTGATGAAGTCCCAATAGTCCATTTTTACCCTTGCTTCCCTTGCCTTTGGTGATGTTTCTAGGAAGAAGTTGCTGTGGCTGAGGTCACAGAGGTTGCTGCCTGTGTTCTCCTCTAGGATTTTTTTAAAAAAGATTTTATGTATTTATTAGAGAGAGAGAGAGAGAGAGGAAGCACAGGCAGAGGGAACAGCAGGCAGAGGGAGAAGCAGGCTCCCCACTGAGCAAGGAGCCTGATGCGGGACTCAATCCCATGACACTGAGCCAAAGGCAGAGGCTCAACCGACTGAGCCACCCAGGCATCCCTCTCCTCTAGGATTTTGATAGATTCCTATCATCAAATACTTACCTAGTTGATATAACAGTAAGTGTTCAATTCTATCTGTTAGTCAGGGAAGAGAAAGCAGAGGGCCGGAAGAGGACAAAAAAGAAGAGACAGACCTCCATGCTTAAAAGGAAAAGGAGAAATATAGAGAAAATGGGCGATGTATTCCCACTGATGGATCTGCCCCTGGGGGTACCACCCAGGCCTGTCTGTCCCAGGACTCTCCCTCTGCCTTGCTGGACCAGCTCCCTGTCAGAGCCTGGGGGATCAAAGCTCCAAGGTCAGAGGCCCATCAGTCTGTTCTGTCTGGTTCTGTCATAGGATACTATTTTGAGTATTGAGGATTCATTGATTTATTCACTCTTTTCTTCAACAAATATTGAGTGTTTATTGCATCCCAGACACTGGGCTACGACTAATTATAATTGTCATCAAGTTTTAGTAACCTCTGCAGCAGATAAAAAAAAATAACAATTATAATGATGTGATATGCTGGGAATAAATAGCGATTGCCACCATTCTTACTATTAAATGACTTGGAAACATTTTTTTCATATTAATATTAAGAAAGAAAGTGATGGAAGTGAATGAATGATTCTGCCCATAAGTGTGTGAGAGAGGGCAGTTATATGGGAAACATCATGGAAGGAGAATTTCAATGGGACTTATTTGCACAAGCAGAGCAGACACCCCCCTCCCCAGGAAAGCATGAGAATAATCAACTAGACGCCCAGGACCCAAAGGGCCCGTTTTAATAAGATTCGGGGTCTCCCAACAAGGCTGGGAGGCCCCCAACAGTGAGGGTGACTGCATGATGCTTCTGACCTTCCGGGCAAGGAGTGGACCTGTGCACCAAATCCCAGGAAACAGAGTTTCCTGGGGACATCCTGCGACCTCCGCCTTCTCTTCCTGAGGTTGACCAAAGTTGCTAGCATCTCATTCGTGATGAATCCCATGAGCATTTGTATGCATGCCAAGATACATTTTTTGTGTGATAAAAATCTTATAGGCCTGAACTTGTGTCCATTGATTCCTAGAAAAAAGATTTAATTTAATTTATCGCTGCCCTGAACCTTGACCCTTGGTTCCTGCCATGGAACTTTACCTCCCTGTGACGTGGACACTGCTCTGGGTCCCCCAGCCTGAGCTTCCTGAGGAGCTGGAGCCTCTCCCCGTGCAGCCCCTCCTTCTTCTTTCTTGCCCCCCTCAGCGTCACCTCTACCTGTATCTTTGCTTGGAGCTCTGGCAATGTGCTCCAGCCACCCTTGGGACTTCCGCCTGTGCCTCTGTCAGAGCCCCTCAGGCCACGTCCCTCACCTCCTGCTGACATGTGTCAGCTGGCCCCTCCCTGCCCCGGGACGCGACCGGGATGTTTGGACCTGTTCATCTTTCCTCCAGCCCTTCCTACCACTCACTGAGCTGTTCTGTAATGAAATGGTGCCGGGAAAGATAGTTTAAAGTTCTGCTACACTTTCACAACTAGAAGCACAAATGGGACTGTTTGGGTTTTTGCTATTTACCCCTGGGGCTTGGATTAAATTAAGTAAATGTGCATCATCCCCACCCCAGGCTTGGAATAATCTGATGCGCTCTTTTTCTGGTCCCAGGTTCCAGCTGGACATGACATCACCACACAGGTAAGTCAGCATTGAACTTCCAGTCTGCCCTGTGTGTCTGCCCCAACCCCAGTATCATGTGCTCACTGTCTCCATGATCACGTTGTCCATTGTCCCACATTTAGAAGTCTTACCTCCTGGACTAGACTGTAAGCTCCCAAGGTTAGAGACTAGACGTCCTGTATGTTGTCCGCAGCACCCAGTGCACTGCTTACTATGCACAAGCACCCAGTGGAGGCTTGTAAATGACGAAAGTAGAGTGGAAGAAAATTTGCGATGCAGAGGACTTTGAAAGGGATGACCCAGAATATTATGATGGGAGATGAGGAAAAATTTAGTAATGCCTCCCTGAACAAAGAGGTGTCCACCAGGGTTTTCTCAGAATTAAATATAAATTCAGATGGCATTTTTAAAGCAGAATCAGATGGTTTACAACTGATTATGATCAACCAGTTACTTGCCCGAATTCTGTGCCTAGTTCTCCCCCAACAGGCTAGTTAGGGACTGAGTTTTCATCTAGCCATGGCCGTGGCCCTGGGTGCTCCCGCAGGTGGTGGGGTATCTGGGAAGGCGGGGGACAAGCCTTGCGGCCACTGTTCCACAGCTCTGGAATGCGGTGGGTATTTCCACCTGACAGGTTTGCTGGGAGCACCTGACGTAACGTGCGTGAAGGTGCCTACGGACCTGAAAGTGCCAGACCAAAACAATGTGACGTTTTGATCGTTCGTTCTCTGTAGTAAGAGACAGTTATTTGGAGAGTTCAGCTCAGTTCAAACTGGAGCCCACCGCGCCCAGCTGTCTCAGCTGTCCTCAGGAATTTTGTGGCAGCCCCTCCCTCGCTTCTCAGCTGGCCCGGTGATTCAGAAAGCACCCCTCTCCACCCACCCTGATGGCTCATCTCCCAGTTCTTTTGCTTATCCCTCCTAAAGTGTATCTGTGACTCACTGCCCAATATATGCTATACGGCTCACTCACTTGATCAGGAGAGATAAAGCCATCTGGTGCTGTGTCCACAGTGCTCCAAAACAGGGAGCACTGCACTTTATGCAACACATCTCATTTAAGGCCGTCCTTTCCAAGGCAGGTCTTATTCCCTCTTTTACAGATGAGGAAACCAAGTCTGAGAGAGACCAAGGAACTTGTCCCGGCCTCTGGCTCCTTCTTAGACTCTAGCTGCTGCTTTTTCTTTTCTCCTTTTACATTTTATTGTATTACCGTAAGAGCACTTGAGATGAGATCGACCCTCTTAGCAAGGCATACACTGTATCATTATTGGCTATAGATACAAGGCTGGATAGCAGACGTCTAGAACTTACTCATCTTGCTCAACTGAAACTTCATACCGCTGATGAGTAACTCCCCATTGTCTAGATCCTAGCTGCTTCTTTTTTTTAATATTTATTTTATTTTATTTATTTGACAGAGAGACACAGCGAGAGAGGGAACACAAGCAGGGGGAGGGGGAGAGGGAGAAGCAGGCTTCCTGCCGAGCAAGGAGCCCAATGCGGGGCTCGATCCCAGGACCCTGGGATCATGACCTGAGCCGAAGGCAGACGCTTAACGACTGAGCCACCCAGGCGCCCCAGATCCTAGCTTCTTAAACAAGAAACCGGGGCCGGGAGCTCGGGGGCTGTATCCACACTGACATAATGCAACCGAACTGTTTCAGCCGCAGTAGAATTGATTGGAAACTGATGAATCAGGAAGACCTATTTTGTCTGGTGTTTATTCCAGGGAGAGCTGGGCGTCACAAGGCTGAGATTTTCTCCCTGGCCCTGCCCTTCCCGTTCATCCTTGCTGGACGAGAGCCCGCACTCACCCACCGGACAGACACACTGAGCAACCAGCCTCTACTCCAAACAGACGCCATGCCTCGTCCCCTCTCTCATCTGGCTTCCACTCAACACAGCAGTTGGAGAAGTGGCACCTCAAGGGCTCCCCGACTATTTTTATGTGGCCATCTGCCTTCTGGACCGGGCCTGGCAGGCAGCAACAGGCCCGAGGAACGCCACAGCAAGTGGGTGACGCCCAGACAGCTGAGGACGCCCAGCCCTGCCCCTGACTCTTGTTCTAGGGATGCTGGAAATGTGGTGCAAGGGTACCAAGAGGAAAAAGAAAGGCTTTTTCATGCCGTAGCTGGGGGTGCTGTGGGGGCCCTTGGTTCCTTTTCCATTTCTAGAACAAGCTAAGGCCGGTTCAGTCCTGCCATTGCCAGGGCCCAGGTGGCAGGGCCGGGCGGGGAGTACAGTGTGTGGGGCAGCAGTTTGGGCCACCTGCTGACCTCAGGGCCATCAGAGGAGAGAGCGTAGCAAAGATGCTCTGCGGAGGGGGTGCGCTCCATGAAAGCCTCGGGCTTCAGTTGTAATAAGACCCTGGGGTGTCCCTGCAGCCCACCCTGACTGAAAGCTAAGCCTGGGGCAACATGGAGGCAGGCAGGGCTTTTCCGTGGTCAGATCTGTGGTTAGAGGAAGGGTTTGCCTCACTCATAGCTCCCTGGGACGGAGGAAGCATTACAAATCAATCAATAAAAGCCCCCTTTGCGGGGCGCCTGGGTGGCTCAGTTATTAAGTGTCTGCCTTCACTAGGGGTTCGTGATCCCAGCGTCCTGGGATCGAGCCCCATCTCCAGCTCCCTCAGGCTCTCTCCGGCTCCCTCCGGCCCCTCGGGTTCCCTCCGGCTCCCTCGGTCCCTCCGGCCCCTCCAGCCCCTCCGGCCCCCTGCTCTGCGGGAGGTCTGCTTCTCCCTCTCCCACTCCCCCTGCTTGTGTTCCCTCTCTCGCTGTGTCTCTCTCTGTCAAATAAATAAATAAAATCTTTAAAATAAAAGGCCTCTTTGCAATACAGAAAATTTTAAACAGATGCATATCAGACATAAGATATTGAACCCAGCTTCATGTGGAAGCATTTCTTTCTTTTTTTTTTTTTTTTAAAGATTTTACCTATTTATCCGACAGAGAGAGACACATTGAGAGAGGGAACACAAGCAGGGGGAGAGGGAGAGGGAGAAGCAGGCCTCCCGCGGAGCAGGGAGCCCGATGTGGGGCTCGATCCCAGGACCCTGGGAGCATGACCTGAGCCGAAGGCAGATGCTCAACAACTGAGCCACCCAGGTGCCCCCTTTTAAAAAAATATTTTTAATTAACATATAACGTATTATTTGTTTCAGGGGTACAGGTCTGTGATTCATCAGTCTTACACAATTCACAGCACTCACCATAGCACATACCCTCCCCAATGTCCATCATCCAGCCACCCTACCCCTTCCACCCTCTCCCCTCCAGCAACCCTCAGTTTGTTTCCTGGGATTAAAAGTCTCTTACGGTTTGTCTCCCTCTCTGGTTGTCTCTTGTTTCATTTTTCCCTCCCTTCCCCTATGATCCTCTGTCTTATTTCTCAAATTCATGTGGAAGCATTTCTTCAACAAACCTTGACAATACACCTGTCTCCTGATAAAAGAAAGAAAATGGTGTATTCATGTCAGATTTATAGTAAAGGCTTCATTTGCCTTTTTCAGGAAGAAATGGGAAAATAAATGGGTCAGTATATTGAATTTCTGTTACGTCTTTCTTTCTCCTCAATGTAAAGGATGTTTCCTTCCCAAGCATTTATGATGTCTGCTACCTGCCAAACCCCATTCCAGGTCCGCGTGCTCCATCAGGCTCCTGGGGTCAGGAAGAGGTGGATCAGGGCATCCGGAGCCCTGGGCTGGCACTGGTGGGACTTTGAGAAAGGCACCTAGATTCTAGGCTTCCTCATCTACAGGGTAACCATGATAATGAGGATCTTAACTGCATTGTTATGAAAATCAAATACAATTATCTTCAAACTATGGAACTATCTCGTAATCATAAAAACATTAAAAAATTTAAAGAAGTTATTTGGAACATGACTGACCCAACAGGGGTCAGAATTTTTCTGTGGGCCCCTAAAACTGCCCTCCTTCTAGAAGGAGAGGTTGGACAATTGAACTGAATTTCTGCCCTCCCTGCGGCAAGGACTCTGGTTGCAAATGGCCGATGGCCAGTGAGGGGCTGGGGCAAGGGCACGAAGCAGAACTCTCCCTCTTGCTCTTCCTGCCTCCTCGCAGGACCCCAGCACACCCACTCGGGCCCCGGGGTCATGCCAAGGAGCAACGACACCAGAGCTCAGGCAGCCCTGACTCCAGCCTCCCAAGGACATGAGCACCTAATTCCCTGTGCCGGACCCTTCCCTGCTGGAGCTGTCCACAGTGGCTGTTCCTCCTGCTTTGAACCCTGCCTGCAATGGCAACTCAGAGAATGAACTGGGGGACACAGTCATGGGCGGCCATGGGAGCAGAGACGGCCCCGATCCCGCTGCCCCTGTGCTCTCCCTCTCGTTTCTATGAGGTTTGGTCTCTGTGTTGGTCTCTTGGGCTTTTTAGGTGGCAGGGACCACGGATGCCTCTTGGACCACATGCGTGGCTTTGTGTTTAGCAGCTCCATCCACACATTGGAGAGTCGAATACCAGCTGTTCCTCAAAGAAGGGTCTGTTTGTCTCACCTGAAGAGCAGGAAGGGATGCAGTGCCGAGAGAAGGGACCCCCGCCACAGAAACGCGTAGTCAAGACAACCGAGCCGAGCACTGGACTCCGGCATCTGGGGGTTGCCTTTGCTGTTGCTGAAAGATCCTGCGCAACCAACCACCCCAAAATACAGCGGCTTGAACAATGGGCATTTCTTTTCTTTTCTTGCCCCCCCACCCCCCCCCCCCCCTGCCACTTGGCTGGCAGCTCTGCTTGGGGCTGCAGGTCATCCGCGTGTAGCTGCAGGCTGTGGGGCAGGGTCAGTACCTGGGGCCCTGCCGAAGGGGCAGGGGCTACCTGGCCATGTTCTCATCTTGACCACCCTGCGGGTGCCCAGGGCAGGCCAGGCATACACACTGCAGGCTTGGTGTGAATATACCAAACCCGCCATCATGGGGCTCCAGCACCCAGCAACACTCTATGTACCAGCAGGGAGGAAAATTAAGAGACAAGTCTGCTTTGAGAGGATCAGCGAGGAAATTGTTGCTCATGTCTGATAAATTGAGTTCATCTGAGTGTCTGTTTTTATAAACTATTTTTCTCATTTGTGACCTGCCTTAGAAATTTTTGTTATAATTTTTGTTATTTTTTTCCAGCTCTCAGGAACTATGTGTATTCCTGCCATTATTTAATAGAACCTTACTGTTTGTGTTTATATTAATATTTTCGGCCTGTTTCAGCAGCGATTATCTTATTCAACTCTTATAACATTGCTCTTGGGAAGGAAAAATAACATTATACCCATTTTACAGATGAAGAAATTAAATCTTAGCAATATCAGTTAACTCCCCCAAGGCCACCACAGCTCGCAAAATAGCAGAACTTGGAACTAGCACCTAAATATTGTAGGAGTCTTCAAGAAAACATCTGTGTCTGGCAAACATAGGGTGATATTAAAAAATGGCAAGAACTAGGACCATAAAACTTGAATCAATCAATCAAAATACAAAATGAGGGGCACCTCGGGGGCTCAGTAGGTTAAGCGTCCGACTCTTGATTTCGGCTCAGGTCATGATCTCAGGGTCATGAGATTGAGCCCCAAGTCTGGCTCCAAGCTTAGCACAGAGTCTGCTTGAAATCTTCTCCCTCTGCCCCTCCCTCCCTCATGAGCATGCACACACTCTCTCTCAAAAATAAAATAAAATAAAAAATAAAAAATGCTTTCTTTTTATTCTTAGTTAAACAAAACTATATATTATAGGAGCGCCTGGGTGGCTCAGTCGTTAGGCGTCTGCCTTCGGCTCAGGTCATGATCCCAGGGTCCTGGGATCGAGCCCCACATCGGTCTCCCTGCTCGGTGGGAAGCCTGCTTCTCCCTCTCCCTCTCCCCCTACTTGTGTTCCCTCTCTCGCTGTCTCTCTCTCTGTCAAATAAATAAATACAATCTTAAAAAAAAAAAACCCTATATATTATAAAACTCCCAATCATGTGATATAATTTGTAGCATAATTTGTTGTCATTTTAGTAATTTTCAATCACTTTTTGATTTTTAGGAAATGTTCATGTGATCTCCCTGTATAACTTGGTGGCTGCTAGCTAAAAGATGCCATTGTCTGAGCCATGGTCTGACACATGGAGTGACATCGATAGACATTGGGTGACTTGTATGGAAACTCCTCTTCACATCAATGGTATTGCTCTTGGTATTCACGAGTTCTACAAAACCAACAGTAATTCCATTCAAAGGACTTCTGGACTTCTCTAACACTGCCTAAGATTTTATACAATATTTCTGTCGTTAACCAAGCCGTGAAAACACATTATTAGAATGCCATTATTTATTAAATGGCTTCATCTTGTTGATTTTTATTCATTTTCAAGCCATGGAACATAATTCAATAACCTGAAATAGTGTAAAACATTGTTCTGGGGCACCTGGGTGGCTCAGTTGTTGGGCGTCTGCCTTCGGCTCAGGTCATGATCCCAGGGTCCTGGGATCTAGCCCCACATTGGGCTCCCTGCTCTGCGGGGAGCCTGCTTCTCCCTCTCCCCTGCCCCCCCACTTGTGTTCTCTCTCTCGCTGGTCTCTCTCTGTCAAATAAATAAATAAAATCTTAAAAAAAAAACAAAAACATTGTTCTGTTTTTTCACTTTTGTCATCAAACCACAAGTGCATTATAATGTAATTGATCAGACATAATCAATGGGAAAAAATAGTTTTCTCCTGGAGTTGATGTTCATTGTGTATATCGACAAATGGTGTTTCCTATGCCTCCATTTCAAGTGTGCCTTCTTCTTCAAGCTCAGTTTATTTTAAATATTTGGTCACTTTTACAATTTATGGAATTAATCTGTCATTTTTAATAACTGAAAATGTTCTTTCTGATGCAATCAAAAGAAGTATTGGCACTTCTCCTAGACTATAATTTATAATTTCCAAATCTCTCTTTTAGATGTTTTTTAATAGTTTTCGTTTCCAAAATTTTAAAGGCTTCCAGTCCAGTTGTGCATTACAGTGAATATACAAAGTGTGATGCAGTTTTCACACTGCTTTTCTAGCTCAAGCCATAGAGACTGCCTATTAAGGCTTGACCAGTCTTCTTATTTCAGTTCCCAGCTTGTCAGGTGCATTAGACATTTTATTTTATTTTATTTTTAAAAGATTTTATTTATTATGAGAGAAAGAGAGGCAGAGGGAGAGGGAGAAGCAGGCTCCCTGCCTGATATGGGACTCAATCCATGGACCCTGGGATCATGACCTGAGCCTAAGGAACCTTACCCGACTGAGCCACTCAGGTGCCCCTGTCTTTCTTCTTAAATTCACTCTCCAGCAAGATGGGGAATTTACAAACCTGAGTCATTTGTGACTGAATAGCTCCCGTTACTTTAAAAAAACATTCTCACATTCTTCCTGAAGTTTCACCCTTGCAATCAGCCTGAGATCTGATTCAGAGTCAGTGGATATTTTATTCTAATAATACAGATTCAAAATGATGCTCAGGGAGGCTGTGCCCTGAGTCAGGCAGAATGGGAGGTGGGCAGCCAGGTGGAGGGGAGAAGGATGGTCTTCCGGTGTAGGACCACACACTGTAGTTTCCACTAAAGCTGAGCTTCTGAGTGGGCATCGAATTCTCAGTCTGAGAAGTTTTATACTGTATTTTATTTAGATGATCATGTTATGCATCATATGTGTATTTCAGTCTTCTGTGTATTTTTTGTGCTTCTTATTGGGGTGTGGCAAATAATTCTCCCAAGAAAAGAGTAGAGGGGGACTTCCTTCCTTGATTTATTTATCCTATTAACTAACAAATACTTACTGAGCACTTTCTATGTGAAGATGCTGTGGTAGGTGCTGGCAGATGGGAGGACGGCGTCCTGTGAGGGGAAGCTTGGCAGTGATCTGAGCAAACCCAGAGTTCTCAAAGGGCAAGTCAGAGTCTCGCTGCCACAGTTTAACTTCAGCAAGCGTCATCTACATGAAATTGATGCTGTTAACTCGAATTTAGTGGCTGTTTCCAGTTTTGTTTATATGTTGTGTAAATTTGAAAAAATAGTTGTATAGAAGCGATCAGAATAAAGGGTTCATACCTGATTTTATGTTTGTACATATTCAAATAATGTTGTAATGAAAATAACAGACCTTCTTAGGGCTCTCCCTGCCCCCCCACCTCTCACATGAACTCTTGAGCAGTTTCAGGTCGCTCCCTTAACAACGCAGGTGCACGCAGGCACACAGCAGGGGCACACATCCGTGCAGACAGCATGCGCACGCACACACCATGCACACGTGTACATGTGCACACCGCACGTACACACACACACACAGCATGCACTCACACGCCTACATTAGCACACACTGGGTTCCCAGCACAGCCAGAGGCACTCCGGGCCCCAGGACCTAGGAGCCTGGCCGGGGATCTTCTCGCCCTCCCAAAGGTTTAGAAGTCGCCCTGGGAGGGATCCTAGAGATATCCTTCCTGCACTGGCAGCTCAGACCCCCCAAGAGGCCCCGCCGCCTGCCCCAGGCTGCCCTCCCCCGCCCCCCACGACGCCCCCTCTTCGCTCGCGCCGCGCTGGCCCTGGCCCCAGACCCCTCCCGGGCCTCGCACTCTGAGCCGGACCCCCAAATCAGCAACACCGTCTGCTTCCGGTCTGACCCTTCCGAAAGCTTGTACTGTCAATTAGCTTGTACCAGCCACCCTGGCAGAGACTGCAGGGCAAGTCCCAGTTGAAGAAAGGAGCCTGCGCTCCCTGGAGCGCTCCCTGGAGCGCTCCCTTCCGGCTGGGGGGCGGGGCCGGGCCGTGGGAGACCCCGAGCCGCCTGGGTGAAGGCTGGGAGGGACTGCGCCGCATCCCGGGGAGATTAAAGGCACTGCCTGGGGAAGTAGGTAGGATGGATTTTCTATAACTCAAGAGGACAGAAGTAGAACCTGTGAGTGGAAGTTTTAGGGACACAGACATTTGACTTAAAAAAAAAAAGAAAGAAAAAAAACGAACAAAACTGTCCACAAATAGAATGAGCTGCCTTTGTGAGGGATGTAACCCCTAAAAGTGTTCATACCAAGGATGAGGACGGAGCACCGCCGTCCAGGGTGCGGTGGGAGGATCTCTGCATACACCCACCACACCGGGACATCTGTGACTCAGGTTGAGACAACAGCTTGGCCTCAGGGGGCCATCCTCCTGAGCCAAGTGCCCTCATCTGGGCTCCATTCAGCCCTTGAGGAGAGAGGGATCATTTCTAAAGCAAAATGCCATTTGGAGTGGTAATTCACCCTGGTGCATTGGGTACAGGAACGAGTGGAAGTCACATCCTTTTAGATTTTGTTGTTTGTATGTTTGAGGTCTGACCATACACCAGTGAGACAAGTGTTGGCAGGCTTGAGTGCCATCCCATCTCAATTGTCCCCTCATTGAGTTCCCGTGAATCATGTCCAGGTGGACAGGAGAATGTGGCGCACAGCATCTGTGACCAGAGCAGTGATTTCTGTGCATGGGCACTCTGTGCACCCACCCTCCCCGAGCCTTCCAGGGAGGGTGCCGAGTTTGTAGCCTGGCCTTTGCGCTTGCTAAGGGGGTAATAGAAGTAGAGGCTAAGCTCACTTAGAAAAGGTGGAGTCCTTTTGGAAGGGTCAGATCCTGGATCCTGGATCCTAGATCCTGGAGTCAGAAGCCTGGGGAGCTGACACGTGTGTGGATCTGCACTCCCCCTCCTGGTGGAACCTGGAAGCCAGCACACCTTGTAGTTGTCCACGCCTGGCACAGAGCAGGAGCCCCAACACCACAACTGTTGTACGGTGGGGGGGCCCTCAGGTCCTGGCCAGGCCCGGGGGGGACCTGGTTCCAAGCAGTGGAGGCGTGAAGACTCCGTGCAGGTGGCGCGGCGGAGATGCGGTATGACCTTCACAGGCTGAGCTCCAAGGCCAGTGGGCATCTTGGGGGAGGCCTGGGTGGGACATGAGCCTGGCTGGTGCCTTGACATATTAGCCCCCAGAGCACCTGTCTGTGACACGTTTTGACCTTGGCCTCTCTCTGAGGCCAGGGAAGGAGCCCCCTCGGAGCTGGGCTTTTCTCCGGGTATGACAAACATAAGGACCTCCAGAACAAGCCCTGTGTTTGCAACTGTTCACGTGAGGGTGGTTCCAACTCCCTTGTAGAAACTAAGATAATTGTAGCAAGGAACGGGAGTCCTACAAGAGAAAGAGAGGGATGCTCCCCACAGCTTTATTTACATACATTTTATTTATTAGAGAGAAGTTGGGAACCCGAGGCAGGACCCCCTGAATGGGAACAGCACTCCTCAGATGTGGGGGCAGGTCACTGTCTGTGGCTTGTCCCTGGGCCATGAGCACACCAGGTGGCTTCCTGGAGAAAGGCCACATTCTCCCAGGTCTGGGCGCTGAGAGAAAGCAACCCCCTGTCCCCAGGTTGGCCAGACACAGGGCCAGGCTCTGGCTTCTCTGTGAGGAGGCAGCTCTGAAGGGTGGCCAGGCTCACCTTTGCTGTGTAGGAGGAAAAGCATACCGCTGCCAGGCTGTTCGAGGAGAAAGAACTTTTCTTGGAGGACCTGGATTCTGGTTTTAAGGCCCTTGCCTGATTTGTCACTGACTTGGGGTCACTGACGGGGTCCCGGGGCGAGCAGGCCACAGACACTTTCCCCGGGGCTGGGCAGAAGGGTAGAAATGTGGTGAATTGGAAAGTGCCAGGCTGACAAAAGGCGCTCTGTTAACATTTTTTAAGCCTGTGCCAAGAACACCTGTCTGGGAAGGGAATTCTCGGACCACCTCGTTTTAATCCTAATTGTATAGATACAGAGTCTTGTGACAGGTAAGTCTGCTCACAGCCGAGCGATTCTAACCAGAGTCTGTCTTTGGCCATGCTAACGTTCTCAGTCCATGCCAGGCCTGGTTACCCAGTCGAGAGGCCAGGATGTGTGGGGACGTGGAGCTGTGTGTGTGTGACCGAGAAAGGGGGCACACTAATAAACACTGGGGTGCACACCGAAATAGGAGGTCACGAACTCTGAGCGCATAGGGATGATTTCCCATTTTCTCAATAGTGCCTCTAAAAGTCAGTAAATCAAGGGCACAAGGAGAGACCCTGAACCCTTGCGGACCCGGTCCCCTCCTTGCAGGGGACACATGCCACTGGAGCAGCTTCAGCTAGTGACTTGGTTATCGGTGACATCCCAAACCCTGTAGCCTTTCTCTGCAGGGTCCACACTGCGTGGAGCTCCGCCGAGCAGCCTGGCCATTCCTGCTAACCACGGGGACCACACCTTTCTCCCAGCCAGTGGACTAAATGTGGGTTGTGGAGATACTAAGATTAGAACAAGAAAGTGTCACATTTGGAATGCATGTAGCCTAAGTCAAACCGGAGACAAGAGGGAGCCGCACCTGTTGGGACCCTGCCCAGACATGGAGCAGGTTTTTAT